GGGGGGGTTGTGGGTCACTTAAGTCATTTAGGGTCACTGCACTTCACTGGGGAGGGGATCACTGCAGTTTATTGGTGTCACTGTGGGTCACTGGAGTCATTTAGGGGTTACTAGGGTCACTGTGGGTCAGTGAAGTCCACTGGGGTCACTAGAGTCATTAAGGGTCAGTAGGGTTACCGTGGGTCACTGGAGTCATTAGGGGTCACTAGGGTCACTGTGGGTCAGCAGAGTTATTATGAGTCACTGGGGTCACCTTGGGTTACTACAGTTCAGTGGGGTTGCTGCATTGTACTGGGCTTTTTTGCTGATCACTTGCGTTATTGTGGGTAACTGGAGTCATCATGGGCCACTAGGGTCACCATGGGTCACTGCAGTTTAATGTGTCACTGTGGGTTACTGGAGTAATTACAAATCACTGGGGTCACCGTGGGTCACTGAAGTTCACAGGGGTCACTGCATTGCACTTGGGGTCACTGGAGTCATTACGGGACACTGATGTCACCTTGAGTTACTACAGTTCAATGGGGTCACTGCATTACACTGGCGTTTTTTGTTAATCACTGGGGTCACTGAAGTCATTATGGGTCACGAGGGTCTTTGTGGGTCACTGCAGTTCACTGGGGGTCACTGGAGTCATTAGGGTCACCGTGGGTCACTGAAGTTATTATGGGTCACTGGGGTCACCGTGGGTTACTGCATTGCACTGTGGGTCACTGGGGTCACCTTGGGTTACTGGGGTTGCTGCATTGTACTGGGCTTTTTTGTTGAACACTGGGGTCACTGGAGTCATTATGGTCCACTAGGGCCACCATGGGTCACTGCAGTTTACTGTGTCACAGTGGGTCACTGGAGTAATTACGGATCACTGAGGTCAACCTGGTTGACGAATTCACAGGGGTCACTGCATTGCACTTGGGGTCACTTTGGGTCACTGGAGTCATTACAGGTCACCTTGAGTTACTACAGTTCAATGGGGTCACTGCATAGCACTAGAGATCACTTGTTGATCACTGTGGGTCACTGGAGTCATTATGGGTCACCAGGGTCTTGTGGGGGTCACTGCAGGGGTCACTGCAGTTTACTGGTGTCACTGGAGTGATTATGGGTCACTAGAGTCACTGTGGCTCACTGCGGGGGTCACTGGAGTCATTATGCATTTTATACATAATGATAATTGGAAGTGCTTGAATAAAATGAGTGAAGTTTGTTCATGAACTAATTTCGAGAGGATCACGTGCTTATGATTTATCACGGCCGGTCCCGTATTTGCTTATCACTATCTTCCAATCACATGAGCCCTAAGCTACTATAAATAGCCTCAGTTTTCAGCTCATTTTATCTTCGTTTGGAGGAACCCCCCTCCTCCCTATTCTCCTCCTTTACCTCTGATTGGGCGGCACGGCGGCCCAGTGGTTAGCACTGTGAGCCCCACGGCAAGAACACTGCCGGCCCCGATCCTTCAGGGCCGGTGGGTGTTTCTGTGAGGAGTTTGTATGTTCTCTCCGTGTCCGCGTGGGTTTTCCCCGAGTTCTTTGGTTTCCTCCCACCATCCAAAGACCTTCAACATGTATAACAATCAAGCATTTGTCTAACCCCTGTGTTGTCTTAGCTACCGCAGTCGGGGAGTTCTGAGATCCACCGAGCTCAGGCTCCCCTCTCGCTCTGCCAACGGGAGGAAGCCCCGGGCTCGAGGATCCCTTGAGCTCGGGGCTCTCTCCCGGGACAGCATGCCAAACAAGCTTTTATAAATCATCAGCTAAGTGTAAACTCTTGAAATAATGTACAGCACGTGTCAGAGATTAAAATAAAGAAGAAAGTGATTGGAATCAGATTAAATCTGTGTGTGAAGGGCTCTAACAGGAAGGAGAAGAAGGAAAGAAAGAACAAGGCCCAAATAGCCACTGCGGGTCACTGCTGCTCTTCTTGTGTCTCCATCAGGATCTTCAGCTGTGTGTGTGTGTGTGTGTGTGTGTGTGTGTATTGTCAGTGTTTTCTCCCTCAGGGTGATCATCATTCCAGCAGAAACACACTGAAGAACAGCTGATCTGACGGAAACTGACTGAAGGTGATTGTTAGTGTGTGTGTGTGTGTGTGTGTGTGTGTGTGTGTGTGTGTGTGTGTGTGTGTGTGTGCGTGCGCGCGTGCGTGCGTGCGTTTGTGTGATTGAGCTGGTGATGAAGTATTGAGAGTGTTTCTGCTGTAATAAAGCATCAGTCCAGCAGGTGGCGCTGCACACCAACACAACTGAGCTGATGATCCTGTCTGTACTGATGATGATGATGATGATGATGATGATGATGATCAGCTCATCCAGCACTTGCAGAGATTCTGGCGTTTCTGTTCTTCACTGACTGACGGGTGAGCAGAGGAGTGTGTATCTCTTCAGTAAACCCTAAACTCAGTGTGTGTGTGTGTGTGTGTGTGTGTGTGTGTGTGATCATGACACTGAAAGCTCCAGCACTCAGACAATCAAAATGTAACATCATACTTTATATATGAAGAGTTGAGAGTGACTCTGGACTGATCTAGCAGTCATTAATGTGATGCAGATTACTGATCAACAGTTGAGTCTTCAGCAGTTGATTGATCAGTCTGATAGGATACGATAGTTACAGAATGCTGTAATGGAGCAGATCTTTACTGAAAACTCTAATGATGTTCGGCATTAAAGCAAATATTCTCCCAGATATCTGTCAGCAGACTCACACAGAGCAATATCATCCATTGAGGAAACATATCAAATCTTTGTGTTCTCACTAATATGACAATAACCATCCAGCGCTCGCTTTATTTTCAGTGAAGTGTCAGCTGAAACCACATGAACTGTTCACGCAGTATGGACACACGTGCAGGATTTCAGCATCTTTAAACTCATTTTTTCTGAATAATCATAAATCTGTAAGCTATGATCTGCTGTGTGGAGCTGCTTTGACACAGTCTACATTGTAAACGCGCTGTACACATAAAGCTGAACTCAGCCGAATCATCAGACATGTGGAGGCAACACTTCCACAGAAACGGCCAGACACAGCGCTCTATTCACCACCATAACATCCCCACAACCAGCGCTGCTGTCCACAACCACAAATCCCTGCACACATGAACACAGCACATATGTAATATTGAATACCCTGATGCAGTGCCTGCTCATCCCTCTCGGGCTGTTCTGTGTTCTGTTGGCTTGTCATGAAGATATTTAGACTAACGGTTGTGTTCTGATGTTCTGAATTAGAGAAGAGTTGTGTGCTAATAGTGTGAAGGTGGATCTGTTCTGCAGACGATGACCCTCCTGCCGAGTTTAATTACGACACACACACAGCGGAAACAGGCGATGAGAGCCGATGAACCCCGAGCGAGAGGCGCCGGTGGGCCAGCTGGACACATGACCATCTGATTACAGCACAGTGCAGAGTCATAATTAATATATTTATCAAATTAATTAGTGAGAGAAGCTGAGCAGAACACTGCAGATGGACAATCCGTTCAGTTCATGCTTATTCACACAGCGCCTCTCCAGAGTGTGTGTCAGCAGATGAACACAGGAGTTCTGGAGAACTGAAGCGGAGTCAGTCCAGTGTTCAGAGCTGAAGCTCAGTTCAGTTCAGTTCAGTGTGCTTTAATCTTCACTGCTGAGAGTCCAAACACTGAAGAGCAAATCCATCCATGAGCAGAAACACAAGACCCAAACCAAGCAGAACAGTGGAGGAACAAACTTCACCAACTGACCAAAGTGAAGGAGAGAAACCTGGAGAGGAACCAGGCTCAGTTGTGCTCCACCATTCTTCTGGCCAAACGTCCTGTGCAGAGCTGCAGTCTAGGCGCCGGAGGCTGGAGAGCTCTGGATGTCCATCGCGGAGAAGCTGCAGGTGTGAGAGGTCACCGGCTGGTGTTCAGGCTGGCCCGCTGGATCTGTGCGGAGACTCGTCTGTCACTGGGGTCTTACAGGAATCAGTCTCGCACTCTCCACTCCTCCATGACCACCACAGCAGCTGCTCAGGACGCGGCCTGGTCCAGGATTATGGAGACCTTGGCATCATCTCTTCACAGGTCTTGGATGGCATCAGTGGTGCTGCAGACTCTCTGAGGGCCTCGGGATGAGCATGCCCAGGTGGAGATGGAGAATGAAGAGCACAGACGGAGAGAAGCTGCACAGAACACTGCAGACGGACAGAGAGAGACGCTCAGACCACAGCAGCTCTGCAGGAGGACCACAGGAGACACGTGACCCTCCATCTGTGTGTGTGTGTGTGTGTGTGTGTGTGTGTGTGTGTGTGTGTCTGTGTGTGTGTGTCTGTGTGTGTGTGTGTGTGTGTGTGTGTCTGTGTGTGTGTGTCTGTGTGTGTGTGTGTCTGTGTGTGTGTGTCTGTGTGTGTGTGTGTGTGTGTCTGTGTGTGTGTGTGTGTGTGTGTCTGTGTGTGTGTGTCTGTGTGTGTGTGTGTGTGTGTGTGTGTGTGTGTGTGTGTGTGTCTGTGTGTGTGTGTGTGTGTGTCTGTGTGTGTGTGTGTGTCTTTGTGTGTGTGTGTGTGTCTGTGTGTGTGTGTGTGTGTGTGTGTGTCTGTGTGTGTGTGTGTGTGTGTGTGTGTGTGTGTGTGTGTGTGCGTGCGCTCAGGTTGTGTTTGAGCTTGATATGAACACTTCCTCATCATTTCCTTGCTTGTGCACTTTGAAGAGTGTTTGTCCTGATGAACACAGCAGAAGATGTTGTGCAGGATGCTGGAGAAGCAGACACTGACCTCACAGTGCAGACTGAACATTCTTCAGAGCATCTTCATTGGTGTTCAGCAGGAGACAGAAGCTGCAGCAGCTGTAGTGAATATCACTGATGACTGAGTTAGAGTTAGTGTGTCCTGTCGCTTTAAGAGCGGCCTGTGTCCGTGCTGTGCTGCGGGGAGCTGCAGGATCAGGTGTGTGTGTGTGTGTGTGTGTGTGTTCTGCTCACATTCTTCACATGCGCACACAGATGCTTAAAGGAGTCTGCTGACAGGAGAGGAGGACTGAGG